ATCCACGTCAGAACCTATAAATAACCAGCTGTACAATGACAGCTGCGTAGCAAGTGATATTTTCTTTTTGTTATTTTAATCTATATCAGGTATCAGAGATCCAAAATGTCTTACATGAAACCTGCACATTTTAATTTACCATTAGATGTTTAAGTAATCTTTATTTTGATAGAATAGCATTTGTGTAAACCTTTATGGACACTAGATCAATTTATAATTTGAATGCCAAGAGTCAAGGTCAGTATGTAAATATCTTAAAAATTGCCTGTCATTTTCACAGGTCAGCGACTATATCTTTGAGCCCGCATGTCTTTGCAACAATATCTTTTGTACGACCCGATTTTAAAAAGAAAAAAAAACAACAACAACAGAATCCCAAAACAACGATCAAAACGGCAAAATTGAAAACGTTTTAGGCTCGATTTGATTGAGCCTGTACATGAACGTTACTGGTATTGCAAAGTACCGTCCATGCACCCTAGCATCGGCCTACGCAAAATTCATATATCAAAGGGGGAAATTGTGAGATTTGGAATTTACAAACATCCGCAGATGTGTTTATACGATACTTTTTATTGTTGTATTGATATAGCTACTTTATAAAGGATTGTATTTATCAATCAAACTTTAAACATGCCTAGACATGGTTAAAAACAGATCATCTATTTATTAATTGAAATAAACTCAAATAAATGGAAAAGTCATTTTAATCTTTATTATCTTTCACCTTGAAAAAAAGTCTCGCAAGCATGAACCATAAACAGTCTACGAGCTTGCACTGTCTTACGGTTAATGAATAATATAGAGTAAAACATTATAGGTCTACCGCGGGTATTTGATGATAGTACATGCATAGAAGATTAGACAGTTAATTGATACCAATTCTGCAATTAATATATTGACGATTCACTGCTGTTTACACTTTTTTATTAACACAGAATGACTTGATAGAGCATTTTGTTTTTTTTGCTACAAAATTATGTAAAATATATGCCGTCGAAGCCTATGTCTTTAAATTTTATTTACTTAACTGAAAATACGAGGGTTTTTTGCGTTTTGTCTTAATTCATTGGCATTTATTCATTGTCTTAGTTAATATCAACGTCTACATTATAATTATGTCACTTTGCCAAGGACGCTGCACCTTATTCAATCTCATGTTTTTAAATCATTCACGTGACTAAGATATATTCAAATCTTCATACTTATTTTGTTCTTGGCTATTTTTCAAGAAATTGATAAATATCTTATTCCATTATGATATAACATATTTTTGATATCATTTTGTCTCATATTTTTCCGCTATCACCCCATAAAATTACTTTAGTATTTCTTAATGTAATTTTAGTCACTAAAATTTGTACCAACTATTTTTGGACTACCCTGACAATTATGTAAAAACAAAGATAAACAAGGGCGTGCCCACTTGAAATGTCTCTGAAGCTCGACTCAGTTAAGGATCCATTACCTTTGTTGCTGGGTCGTGTTGGGGCTGCGTTTATTGAATGCCACCTTTCTTTGTTAATCTCCTTTCCCATTTTTTACATTGAAGGCATGGTCACTGTAGTCTTACAAGTTTTACAAACATTAGAAACATTGAGAAGCATTTATTTATATCATCAGTATTTCTTATTATTTTAAAAAGCATCTATGAATAAATAACAAAGACATAGACACAACCATCAATGACCTATCTAGCTATCAATCTAGCGTTTAAGCATTACAAGTAGTCCTAATGTGCCACAAATTTATGCCTAGTTACGCCAATATCCATCCATTGAATGACAGAATTCATGACCGGACGTGACCTTCAAAATATTTATATGAAATGAAATATGACCTTTAATGTCTGAAATCTTACTTTATGCGATAATTCTTTTCTCACTCAAGACAAATTGTTTCAAAGTACCACGTATCTATTCTTAGCTCTCGCTGAATAACACATATATGGACTGGACATGGCCACCAATGCACTCTCATATCATGACTTTTGAAATACAAGTGTGACCTTGGAACTTTTGTCCGCTACATGTCGTCTTTCAAAGAGCCGCCATATTTATTCAAAAATGATTTTTAATTCAGCCATGAATGACAAAATCGTTAACCAGACTTTTTAGAGACTTTAAGGAAATATTTTGTTCGAAGGGAAAGTATGATTTTGGTCTTTGATTAACATCATCAGCTGAGTTTTACATGTGACTCATTGTCCCAATGTGCCATGCATTTTTTTTATTATTTATGAATTATTTCAAAAGGCATCAATTAATGAGAAAGTTATAGATCGGACACAAACATTTTACGTTTACGTTTTTATCATGATTTATGATATAGAAATTTAACTGAAGACATAACCCTGCTTGCTGCTTGTGCATGACATCGACCTTTTCAAATTACACATTTGCGCAAAGTTATTGTCGTTCCAGGACGGCGACATATACAATTAACAAGATTCAAATAATTTTACACGAACTCCGCCTGCTCTAGGCCAATTAAAACAGATAATTTAATATGACATGATAACAAAATAGACGAAAAAAAGTCCTAACACAGGGGCCTCAACCACCATGTTCTTGTCGGGTTACATATAAGCAAATGCAATACTATCCACATGCACGAAGCTCGGCACTAGTATGTAGAGGCTTCTATGGGATAAACACCATATGAAATATTTCCCTTACAAGAAGAAACTTTAACTCTTTTATTCAGGAAAGTAGTCTATTTCATGAAAAAAATATTTGTCGAATGCTAGCCTGGATGGCGATTCCTATAATTACTTTTGGAAATGCTAAGACTTTTTTTTAAATATCAGGTCGTGCATGAAAACACTGTTGACCGGGTTCCCCGCTTATGAACTTTTACAAAAATTGCCTTTCTTGATAGACATGACCTGATCTTTGGACTGTTTGAATTGGCTCTCAAGCATTACACGTCCCAGTACATGTTCTTGCGCAATTGACATTGACATAAGCAATAAACAAACAATTTTCATGGTATCCCTGTTTGAAGATTAAGTAATAATATAAAGTATATCATTTCCTAATCAGTTATAGGCCGTATATTTATGCTTAACTATTTCAAAATTCATCTCTAAATGACAGGATACTAAAATGCACATCTTTATTCAAGCACTTTCAAGTCTAAGAGGAGTTGAGCTTCACAACTGGGTCTTTCTTGTGCCACACATTAATGCAATTTATTTCAAAATCTATCCAAAAATGACAGATATGGACGGGATTAAAAACGGACAGACAGAAACAAGCTCTTACTGGGAGATTTGTGAAGATGACTGTTATCTTCATGTTTGTTTCTTACTCCAAAAGCAGCATTTTGCCTCCCATAATCAATGATTAATCCTATAGGTCGGGGATATACGGAATTAATCTAAAAGCCAAATTGTGATCGCAAATACCCCTAACTGACACAAGAGGACGCTCGGATAGATAGACAGACGGACAGATATTTGAGCAGGTCCCCCCCCCCCCCCTCAGGACGATATTTTTAAGAACATGCATTGTATTCTTAGAAGTATAAAAAAACATCTAAATGACAAAAGTGAACGCAAATATGACTCTCATTTACGTTGTATTAGGGTATAAATTGTGACCTTTTACACCATCAAGTTTGTAGTTTTAATGGATGTTTTTCAAAGTCTTCGCTTGGAAGTCTTAATTAGTATCACTGCACTTCTAATAAAAGAAAACATGCCTAGTAAAATGCCTTCTTGTGCTTGTTTACTTTAATTATAATACAGTGTATAAAACATAGGAAATTGTCCGCCATTTTAAAATCCAAGATGGCTGCCGCAATAAATTTTATTGTTTTTGCATTTATTCTTCTCATCCACACTTCAGTAGACTTAAATTAACAAAGCCTTTAATTAAAATGCCACAAAATGTGTATTTACCTCGCCCATGGGAGAATTAATGTAAAATTAAAAAAATCAATGGCGGCCATTTTGAAATTGATTTTTAAAGGTCAATGACTAAAAATACAGCCTTGGTAGAGCAAAAAATGAATTCAGCGTACTCAAAATAGGTAAGTAAGCCCAACTACCTGCTTGTACTAAAAAATGCCGTTAGCATGAACATTTTCCCAAAATCAAACCAGTCTAAATTCAGAACGATTAATAATTGCTTTCAGAATTACAGATTTTTTTCACTTTTAAATTATTGTTTAACAACCTGATTTTATGAAGTAGCCGAATATAAATAATTCTCGCTATCTTGTTATCACGCTATTTTATTTTAAGAAAAACATTACAATTTACATACGGTTTTATTTTCCAAAGATGCTTAAGTAAACAAATGATTCAAATGACTCTCCCGAGACCTTCAACTCAGTCGATTCTGTATAAAATAATTTTGATAGGGAACGTGTATACATATGACATTGTGAAGGAAAGTAAAATTATGTTATTTGCATGTGAAAATGATAAGATAGGGCAACTTGTAAAGTATATTGTGTATGGTTCTTGAAAACTATTATTTTTTTTGTCATTAACTGGCCCAATAAATTCTGGGGAGAGGTAAATTTACTGAGATCCAAAATAAAAATAGGTATCCCTTAATTTTTTTAATCTTTCACAATAGTTATTAATTATTTTTAAATGATGGGAATTGATTGTTTTATTGATAAGTTGTGAAATATAAATAGATCTGTATACTGTATATTTATCATTATTTATTATGGTACTTATATACAAACACCGTGAGTGTTTTTGTGACAATAAAAGTGATAAAGCACATCTTTGTTATCTAAACATACATGATTTATTTTTACATCGCGTCATGATATGACAAAGAATTACAAATAGAAATAGTCAAATATTATAATAATTTATTATAATGTTAGAATTAGGAAACTATTGTAATATTAGTGTAAGATAATTATTTTTTCTTTCATAATGTACACGTAATAGGATTTGATTACCTTGTGCTATTCACACCACCATTCTACAAATATATGATGATATGATGTTCCTCCTCTATTCTTTATTTCAGTCTCATCTTTACATGTACGAGGGGTAATCCAAAAGTTCGTGGACTTTCTTTGTTGCGTAAAATTAATTTGAGATATTGATTTGAAATTCTTACACTGCTGAGAAGAATTAATAACAAATAAACACAGAAAATTCATGTAAGTAGCTTCTCATTTTACAACAATATTTAATTTTTCATAAACACATGTGGGCGACAGCGGCGCACTCCAAAATAGTATTTAGGTCAACGTCATAATATTAAACGTACTAATTATGCTTCAACGTTTCGCAGTCAATTACCACTACTGCTTCACAAAGTAATATCTATCTCTAAATTTTTTATGTCACTTAAACAAGTATGATATTAAAATTTTATTTTCTTTGTTCGCCTGCTGTTGGTTTTTTTTTTCAAATGTTTTTGTTGGTGTCATTCCCAAATTACAACAAAATTGTATGATCACGCTATTTTCTAATTTCTGCGTGTCCGTCATTTTCCCGTTGTAAACAATAGCGTCGTCTGGCGTTTCAGGCGATTTCAACAAAAATTAACATTAATAACGTCCATAATTTTAATGAATTACTTAAATGACATCATAGAAGAAATATACGATGTTTAGCGGGTTTTCCTATGTTAATTAGTAGTTTTTTAGCAAAAAAAAATACGATGACTAACTGCGTTTTTTTCTACCGTGCGCCGGGTGCCGTGTATGTGCTTATTTAAAAGCAATATAAAACCATTATTTATTGACGCATTTAATTGTTCCTTTCAAAACGTGTGGATATTCTACAATGTATGCTGATAAAATTTCATTACATAAAACGTTGACGTTCAAGAGATAATTAAAAAGTCCACGAATTGTTGGATAACCCCTCGTATACATAAAATTACATAATTATAAAACGTAAAACACAAGCGTAAAATACATGAAAAGCCATTCTCAAAGAGTTACAAGAGACTATTTATTTTTGCCTCTAAGGGAGACAATTCCACAGACCATATCACAGCAGTTTACTGTTTTATGCACTGAGGAATTGTCCCCCACAGCTACACAAATTTCGTATAATCATTATCATTCATTTAAAGGTTAAATTGTATTTTAAAAACATGACCTCAATATATTGAAACTATTGCATGTTTTTCCTACAGAAGTTTACATTGCGGTACAATGAATAAAACGATACTAAAATGTTTAATGCAAATTGTAAGAAAAATTGACCATTATATATCATTTAACCTTGGAAAGCATGTCATTTATTATACTTGATACTTTACATTCTCAAAGTATTACTAACTTCAATATATTTGTATCTTTCAACATAATTTGCATGAAAATCTGTTTTATCCATACAACATTGGCTTAGTCAATGGATGTTTTATACAGAAGCAACATATATTTGTTCAATATGAAATAAATATGGCCATTAACACTTATTGAATTATCTTTATTTCATAATTCGAGACACAGGTAATGATGAGTAAATAAATTACTTTATTTACTTATGTTTACGGGCTGTTCATAAAGTCGATAAACGCCTGACCGTATTCTTTTCTACATGCGTTTTCTTTTCCTTGCGCTTCGTGACAGATAAGAAGTTGCTGTTTTGTATTTCCTTATTAGGCTTTTCATTTTGTAATTTTAATATCATTCAATATAATAACACAATTATTGGCTAGAAGACCATTAGATATATTATGTGAATTCAATGTCAGCGGCATGTCTGTTTTATCGACATTCTGCCTGTAAATATCATATCATATTTAACGGCTCACTCGTCAATATTTGAGCCATGTCACGACAAAACCAACATAGTGCGTTAGCGACCAGCATGAATCCAGACCAGCCTGCGCATCCGCGCAGTCTGATCAGGATCCATGCTGTTCGCTATCGGTTTCTCTAATTGTTATAGAGTTGGTAAGCGAACAACATGGATCCTGATCAGACTGCGCGGATCAAACGCACTATGTTGGTTTTGTCGTGACGCGGCTCATTTGTACAATAAAATGTCTTTGTTATAAGCTTCTTCAAAACAAATGACATTATAAAGTTTATTGAGTGGATCATAGAAAATATTAAAGAACGCAAAAGATAAAATTTTGCAGGATTGGTTTGATTTCCGTTCATCAAGCAACCTAACCAAACCAAACAAAAATCTTATGAATTTAATTTTGTTGCATACAATTTTGAAGTCTGAAAAATATTGCTTTCGATTGCAGAGGCCAAACATTATTTTGAAGCTTAAATTTAAACAACTGATAGAGCTTTCTAAAACATGTTCCCAAGAGGAGGAAGACAGACGCACGAAGTTCAATCCAGAAAAAAGAAAACCAGTAAAGACAAAGCAATGAACTGTAAAGACTGCATGAAAAATAGAATAAATTTCAGCTATGAACTGAAAGCGAAAAGAATGAAAGGACATCGGCAGAGGAAATTTCAAGCTCGTAGAAAAGAAACAATAATTACTAATACAAAGGTAATAATAATTGATGAAATAAGTTGGCAATCTTGTAAAGATACGGATCATAATACAGTGTTCGCAGTTGGTCAAAACTACTCAAGTTCTTACAGCTTTAAAAATAAAACATGAACAATTGAAACAATAATTTCATTTCATCTTTCAATTAGTCAAGTATGGTAGTTTGCTAACCATAAATGCTGATCTGTGGATGTATTATAATTTTTGAATCGACTCTACAGAGTAGTGGCTACATACAGGGATCACTTCTACATCGTCTGTCTGTCCGCTTGTACGTCCGTCACAACACTTGTCTGAACTACTCCTCAAACACTTTTGGTGCATTTTCAACCAAAATTTGCGGTTTTGGTTCAATATATTTTTAATGTTTGTCCGGACTACTTCTGTTATAACACTAATTCAATTTCAGGATTGATCTGAAATTCAAGTACTTTGGCATATTACATGGGTTTACCGATTAAATGATTTTGGGCTGAGTTATTGTCCTATAATACAACGCTGTTTGGCTTGTTAATGATTTTGTGTCTCTTGCTACACAGTAGCTGCAACATGCAATTGGCTATCATTAGGCGACACATATGATCACTGATCGCTCTTGTTAATGATAATGAGCTTTTATTTAAATCACAAACGATGGAATGATGCGTTTCATTATCAATTTATAAGCACATATAATTATCTATGCAAATTTGAATAATTGAAGGCGAACATACATTTCTTTATTATATATTCATATTTCAGACTAAAATAAAAAGAGACATTCCAACAAGCATCACAAAATCGACAATGAAATCATTTGAAAGTAAGAACACACTTGATGAAATATCGAATACAACACAATGGCAGGTGTCTGAGTCTAAAGGTAAAGCGCAAAATTTGAAATATGAATCTAATATGAACACAATGGCTTACCAAGAAAACAAGTGTCATCATATGCAGAAGGAGAAACTTGTATCAAGAAACAACGTTAAACTATTGAACGATAGTAAAACGTTTCAGTACACTGCCGGGATCAATCAGGTAAAGTCGAACATGTTTTATGCATTTTATGTACCCACAGTTAATATCCCCAGTCTGTTGAATACAATTTTATATAAAATTAAGAATTTCTGGTTATGCATTTTGAACCCATATATAATGTCAAAAGCCAAAATTTGATATCTGTTGACAATTATAAAACACTAAATTCAGGTATTATGGCATTTATTCGATAGATATTCGATATAATAGATTGAACAGATGGACTGTAATAAATGTATCAAATTTATTAAGTTAATATCATCACAATTTATTGAAATTCTTCACACAGAGATCCTTTTGCAAAAACGGATATATTTTGATCTATGTTGATTTTTTTGAAATGCTTATAATAACTTATCTGTAAATGTCGTTTTTTATTTCGAAGCTCCAACAGCAGTGTGAACCGACAATTGCAAAGACAAAATGTGTTAAAGATGATAACATGATAGCTCAACATGATGCTATTTCGCATATACAAAGTGGTTTGTATTCATTATTCTGTTTGTTCATAATTCAGTCGGAAGCATTCCATGATTGATAATACTGTATTTCTTTTTATGATATATAATAATAAGATTTTAAAAGGTAAAAACATTAAATTTTCATTTATTTTTCATTTTCATCTTCAATAGAATGTCCAAAATGGATCACGGATGTTCAAAGGTCACGTGATCATACATCAATGGCAATATCAAAACAAATACAGTTCGTGCCTGACATTGAATCAAAAGTGTGGAATGATCATATAGATAGCACAGAATCTCCCCAGTCAAGCCAGTATCAAACAGGGAACCATATCCAATTAAAGAAATCGCACAGTTCAACTAATATTAGTCTAAGATACACGGCCGCATATGATACAATAGATTTAAAGTCACGACCAAACTTTAAAATATCCGCAAAAAGTGACCCAAAATGTGACAAAAAGACACATGTTAAAGAAAATATACTTAAAGATGTTATAAATGGTGCTATGTCAGAACTTGATACGAAGGTTCGAATCACTGTTGCCCCTGTCTCTAGACATGAAAACGAAGCGGAGAGAAGTCAAGAAGATCAATCTGAACCAACGAGATCTGAAATTGATAGGGGGGAAATTATCGAAGCATGCTCACCTGAAGTTAGGACACATGTTGATTTAGCTATTGTACAAAATCAAAAGCATCTCCCTGTCGATCTACCTGAGTCAGAGTCTGAAAGGGCACTTCAAGATTGTGCAATTGGGGGCCAAGTTGTAATGGATGGTGGTTCTTCTTATGAAATGTCCATAAAATGTCCATGTGACATTGTTCACCCCAAAACCCTACATTGTAAATATAGTGCTATGTCTACACATACACAAAACGATAATTGCAGTGAAGTTACCAATAGAACAGAAGCATCGTGTCCAACATTACAAATCCCTATGCAGCCAAGTAACTTACCTGATCCTGAAGTTAATCAAGCTGATCTTCAAAGGTTTGAACCATTAATACATATAATTGACAAAATAGCAGGTGGAGAGAGAGTCCCTCCTCAAATAACAATGCGTTATGAATTACTCCGATTTTGCACTTTAAGATCATTTCCCAAACACAATAAGCCATATATAACAAGAATAGCTCAGGCAGGTTTTTATTTTGCAAACACAGATGATGAAGTTGTTTGTTATTGCTGTGCTCGTAGAAAAAGCAATTGGTGTGAAACTGATATTCCCATAGAAATACATCGAGAGTTAAATCCTAATTGCAGTTTCCTTCTCAGGAATTTAGAGGTGAATGTGCCTGTAAGAATGTCAGAATTATTAATCCAAGAAAATAATAGATCTACACGTTCTCAAAGTCTTGAAAATGCCTACCAAACTAGCTCAGCTTCTACCAGTGACACAATATCATGTAATACAAGCGGATCGACAAGCTCCTCTAGTACAACAGCAAATACATCTGCACCAAATGTGACACAGGCTTTATCATCACCGGTTGTTTCAACAAACAGTGAACTATCTCAAAATAGACTGCAGTCAAGAGCTCATGGTAATTTTGTAATGACCTCATCAGCGAGTTCATTTGTACAGGAGCACCGAATACAGTGGAGCTGTATATATGTTACAAAGAACCGGCTGATGAGGATTAAAATTAAACACACTTCTTACGATTAATAAAATGTTGTTCTCATAGTGGATTCTAGTAGTCATTTGTTAGAAGTTTAACATACTGAAGAAGATTAGTTTGAATGTACAGGTATTGCTTATTGATGTAGCTATATTTTAATGTGAAAAATAGTGAATTGTGAAGCAAAGGAAGCAAAGAGTTTTTTTTGAAGGAAATGGATATAGTATGTGGAAACTGTAACAAATAGTGTCATAGAGTTGAAGTCACACCTGGTTAAGATCTAGACGACTGGGAGGGCAGTTCATGGTATTTTTGATTGGATGATTTATTTGTGAGTATATCTTGTTCTGATCTTTATAGAGAGATTGTTTTCTTTATGTGATAAACTATTTTACCTAGCTCTTATCATTCATTTAGGATTTCTCTATCTGATAAGCACTTCAAATGCCTTAGTCTTAGTAAGGAAATTGAATGATGAAAACACGTAATCTAGAGTTCTGTATTGAATTTAATTCCTTAAACGACAGGATAATTTGTATTTTATTATAATGTTTACTTCCTTCACCAAGATAGATTCTTCTCTAGTTTGTTCTAGACATCAATATTAACGTTGAAGTTGTTTAACTGAAATCTATACGCTTTATTGTATAAGAAGGAAGAGCTTTGTCTAGTACAAGCAGAGTTATTTTGATGGAATAGTTTATAATTTTGATAATGTTTGGTGGATAATATTTTGAGAATTGATTTCGTACTCAGCGTAAGCTGATAAAGTCATGCATACTTCCAAATAGTCCTCAATTATTGGAGGCAAATACTGAGTGGTGACTAACTACAATGATGTGGTTGAATATTTGTGATATGATTCCACCTAGATAGTATTTATGCTACCTTTCGGGATTTTTTATGCTGGCTTGTGTGACTGTGTTGAGTGGCTTTTCAATGTGGGGTTGTAACGTATTTTCAGCTAGCTTTTGGCATAATATAGAAGGGAAAAAAAGAAAAGCAGTTTTTTCTTGGAAAATGTCGTTAACAACTACATAAGACACATACAAGCCTGTCGCTTTCGTTGAGCTCTAGAAATTTGAGTGCCAGCTTTCTCTTCCTCTTTTTTTTGCATACATGTGCAAGCGCTTAGATCAGTTGCGTCGACTGATTAGGTCTTCATTTCCTCAACCTTTGTATTCAATTATGTCAGGGAAAAGACTATGGAAGCGTATCCAGATCTAGCTTACAGAACATTCGGTGGTTCTACCTTCAGGTGCCATTTGTGCCTGAAATTATAAGATAAAGGAAAGTCTAATAAGAGGTCTTCCTCCAGTAAGTATAAGTAATGCTAAACGACTCGTTGTTCTGTCCTTATGTATTCATTCGAATACCTTATCCTACCAGAATGTAGTTTAATTGATCGGATTGTGATTTAGGGTAAGAAGACCGAGATTTATTACTTATTATAGTGGCTAGCTATCTTCATTTATTTGATGGTTTTCTTGTGATTTTGATTTTCTATGAATCTGATTCCTTTTGATTGTTTTTTTATGGTCTGTTGGCGTCATTGGTCCAGTAAGAAAGTATTCGATCCTTGGATCGAAGAGATGGATTCAAAGGAGTTGTTATTTGGTTCCAAGCAGTGTGAGTGATCAAGATGTTATTGTTGATTAGTGGTTTCGACTATGTGCTGTTTATAAGGTTTCAGAAGGTGGATTATATTGTTCTTAATATCTCTCTGGACATTGTTTTTGTTGATGCTTGTGGTGGAGAGCACTTCAGTTGATTCTTGGTTTGACAAAAAGACTTGATATTAAGTATAGATACTATGATGACCTGTCAACTTAGTTTGAACAGAGCTATTCTGATCTGCATTGTTACTAGTTGATTGAGAGGATTTTTATATCATTATTGTTGTGCATTGGTTAAATAATGTTTATGTCATTTAGTATATCCGCTTTGATTATTTACGAGAACAGATACAGCTATCATGATCCTAAGTTCTCGAGATCATGTACGCTAATTGCGTAAGAGATAATACTTATAGAGCTGTTAATACCTGAGTATATTTATATGTTATATTAGCACACTATATGGATACGACCTTCATTTATCTCACCAGTTGGAAGTCCTACACCGGTAAGAAATTTGTTTTTTTCGGTTTATGTAAAGTTATTAATAAAAGCACAATGAGAGTTGCAATACAATGAAAATATATCTAAATCCAACCATATCATCAGTGTATAGGCTTGCTGACCGCTAAATGACCATACATTCCGAACAGATTGATGGAACAGCAACAAAAGTATGTGTTTTAATTCCAGTTTATATCCATTTATATCATTGATACTCCTCAAACTCACATATATTAGTCATTACAATTCACGAATTTCTTATCAAAAAGACACTTTTGTGGAGTGAGTTTGATAGATACTAGGAAATGAAATGGAACAAAAATTATAAAAAATACTATCTTTTTTGATTGTTTGTATATTATCGACTCCTTTTGTAACACAAAATGGGGTTGTATTTCTTGTGCTTGAGGCAATATGTCTAGTGCAGGTTTCGACGTTGGTACGGTTGCTGCGTCTGGAGACGCAACATGCGTAAAGCCTAAAGATTAATTACTGCTTAAACATAAATCTGTACAGTTTATTAAGTCACTATAAATGTAACACATATGTCAATTCATTCCATAAGAAAGATTCAAAGGCTCAATAACTAGTAGATGACCCCATGTTTTTAGATTCCTGTTGTTTAGCAACAAGAGATAATGTGTTTCAAGGTCGACAGAGGTGCCTTAATGTTCACGAATATTGATTTCTTTGCTATATGAATTATTTGAAAATAAATTTTATTATCAAAATGTCTATACATTATGATCAAAACCATACTTTGAATTTTGGTACAATGTCATACACTATGGTTAGCAAATGACCCTTTCTTTTTGATGTAGTGGAGTCATCGTTAATGATTCCATGGAGTCAAGAGTCATAGGAGATTCATATAATGACCAGAAGTGAGAGATTCCACTTAATTATCTAACTGTTTATACATTAATAAGTTCGATATTTTCACTAATATTAGATTGGTAGAATTAACTAGGATACATACGTAACCCTAGGTTGAACATTGCGAGATACATACTAATGTTCAAAGGTTATAGGGTACAGCGCTGGGCTTTGAGAATATGCAATCAGAAAATTATTCATGCTTATTATTTGTTGAAAACTCGTTCGAGGATATGCTTGTCCGCAGGCCAAATAACTTAAGAATCGCCCACTTTGACCACAAGTACTTCAATATTGGACTGAGAGATTGGTCATTGTAGATTTTATGTAGATGTTACCCCTATTAAAAAGGATCACTTGTTTAATTGTATAGGTCAATATTGATTACAGGGCAACCTTAGATGGTATAGTAATAATATTAAGGCTTGCCATGCTGTGATTTAACCACTTGTTTTAAAACTTTAATGATCACAACACTCGTCCCTTATATTATCACACATATTTGAGTTTAAGTCATAATGGGGTCACTCAGAGTTCCAAATTGGTCTCGAGGTTCTTGTATTATGGGTTTCACAGTTGTCGATTATTAGAGTCTAGTAGGTTTTTCATTATATTTTTTTCCTTATACTGAACTTCTACCTAATGTGTACTCTTCAATATTAGAGGAGTTCTTTATAACAATAGATTACAATAATTATAATGAGTCAACTGCAAATACGAGGGCATATAGTGGTTCTAGTCGATAGGCTTGTTATTTATAAGTGTTAAGTAGGTATATGTTATGAATTTTCAATAATTACACTGACAGTTTTTTATCAATACAGGGTCTTCTGAGGTCTATATAGAATTCGCTTAATGTGCGGATACAGATTCTGCTTAAGGTAACTAGTATGTGGGTCTGAGCATGTCCACATGTCATATGTTGATCGAAGGGCCTTTTACTTGTAAGCATTTGTTGAGGAAAGACCTTGATTATGGTAACTCACATTTAAAATTTTAACATTAACATTGATATTTATGAATTTGTTATGTTTGTGATTGATTATGCTATATTATGTATACATAGCCGTGTTTGTATCGACATAACACAACTTATATGTTAACATTATACTTGAGTTAATTATTTGAGCACATTATCATAGTGTGCGCAGAAAAACACTCTTGCACTTCTATCGAGTGATAGTGGAATATTATTACTATGTTCTGTATCATTCTTAAAAGATTGAGCGAACTTTTAAACGCCTACGCTTATTGAGGAGAAATCTTCGAGAGAAGATTGAAGCTATTCGAAGCGTTCATGGTGATGGAAAATAATCTCTAAACCTGGCTCCAAGAGATCTGCCACGAGCTAGTCTCAGTCAGAGATCTTAACTTGTGGCTTCATGCGACCATGAATTAGCGTTAAGCAACCTAACACCACAAGTCCAAATGTATGTTATTCGATACTAGCACGCGGTTGTGAAGTTTCTAGCACTATCAATCACATTCTGACAAGTGCAGACTCAGTCACGAGAACTCACTCATGTATGTGGGAATTAAACTCTCGCCGAGATGTACATCCTTACACAACACTACAACATGTGAAGTAACTCAGGACCTAAACAAAGATTGTACTATTGTGAAATAATCAGGAACTACATATAAAAATTTGCTGGTTTTTGATCACTCCCTTTGAGTGTTGATCAATAACTTATAATATAGATAGAGATGGTTATAGTTGTATTAGGCTCAAAGAATGAATAAATGTTCGACAGATGAAATAGAGATTAAATGTACTAAGAAGAGGAGCTAAAGCTCTGCAGTATATGTATTGTTTTTTGTAGGATTGTGAGATAGGATAAGGCACCAGTATTACTGTTACCATCGTTAATGTTTACCATAATGACGATAAAAGTGGGACCTACACCACCCATGCCTGGTTGTCATATTGGTTAAATTGTATTCAGTATGTTTAATAATGGCAGTCATAAAACGGTGGATAGGTGATTTAATGGTGTTTTTTTATATCTTAATAATTGGTAACAAATTAATATGTATCATGAGTTCACTTA